ACACACACACACACACACACACACACACACACACACACACACACACTAGATAAATGTAAAAAAAAATTTTAAAAAAAAAATATATATATAGTTTAGGCTGGCCTTGGACTCCTGGATCCTCCTGCCTCAGCCTCCCAAGTATTGGGATTATAGGTTTGTGCTGTAAAGCTTGACCCTAGCTTTTTAAAAATATATTTTGTTTTGAGATAGGGTCTCACTAAGCCATTGAATTGCCTAGGCTGGGTTCAAATTTGCAATCCAGCTGCCTCAGCTTGTTGGGATTACAGGCATGTGCCACATGGCCAGGCCATGTGATATTTTTATTTTTATTTTTATTTTTATTTTTATTTTTATTTTTTGTGGAACTGGGGATTGAACTCAGGCCCTTGCGCTTGCCAGGCAAGCACTTATTCTACTGAGCTAACTCCCCACCCCCCATGTGATATTTTTAAAAATCCCCGCTCAGGGCTGGGGAGATAGCTGGGTGGTCTAAGCACCTGCCTAGCAAGTACAAGGACCTAAGATCGATTCCTGGTACTGCATGCTATGCTAGCTCCAGAACTGCATGCCACATGCCTGTAATCCCAATGCTGGAGAGGCTGCGACAGGTGGATCACTACCAAGGATCAGTCTGACCTACATAGTGAGACCCCATGCCAAATAAACAAATAAATGATTATAAAAAGAGGAGAAAGATTCTAAATAAATACATAAAAATAAAAAATAAAAGCCCCTACTCACAAGTTACCCCCACTGCCTGTCTCTGTCTCTGTCCCTGTCCCTGTCTCTCTCATCTGTCTCTCTGTCTGTCTCTCATTTTGGTACCAGGGAACTGAACTCAGTACCTTGCACTTACTAGGCAGGTGCTTGTGCCACTAAACTAAATCCCTGGCCCTCTACTACTTCTCATATCCAGTATACAGAGCAAATCATATGGCCTAGCATGATGTCACTAGGATGGGGAACGTATACTCTTCCCACGGGGGACATGAAAAATCAAATTTCAAGAAGTGAACATAAAATCTGGGTGAGGTGCTACATGCCTGAAATCCCAGGCCTAAGGAGGCTGAGGCAGAAGGATCACTGTGTGTTTGAGGCCAGCCTGACCTACACCATGAGGCTAAGCACAACCTAAACTACATAGGGAGACCCTACCTAAAAAAAAGGGGGGGCTTCCAAATAGCTCAGCAGATTAAAGTACATGTTTAGGCAGATACAGGGGTCAGGACTTCAATTCCCAGACCTGCCCCATACTGGCCCTGCCCCTGGGGCTCACTGAAAAGGCAATTGAGACTGGGCGTGGTGGTGTGGGCCTATAATCCCAGCACTTGGGAGGCTGTGAACGGAGGATCACTGAGTCTGATCTATGCAGTGAGACTCTGTAGATCTGTAGACCCTGTCCTAAAATACAAAGATAAAAATAAATAAAAATTAAAAAGTGAGCATATATAATCTTACGGGGAAGGTAAAGAATACTTGGAAATAGTAATACAATCTACCTTAATTCATCACTTCATCAAAATATGTATTTCCTTTCTTGCCACAAAAATACATCCATCCCTTTCCCAAGAACATTCCCTAAAAGTTCTATGCAAACAGCATTAAGCTCCAAGTCTAAGATCTTGTGGTAATTTCTATATGGAATATGTGGGCCAGCCAAATAGCTCAATGGGTTAAAGCTCCTGCAAGCAGGCACAGGGGCCGGGGTTTGATCCCCAGGCCTGCTGTGCCAGCCCTGCCACTGGAGCGCAGAGATTGCCCTAAATATCCTGTAGATCAT